GACACACACACTCACACACAAACCCTCCCACTGACACACACACACACTGACACACACACACGGACACACACTCACGCACACTCACACGCCGGTCTCCTGTTTGGACTTCAGTCACACCCAGTCTCCACAGACCCAGTTTAAAGAGGTATTCCGGACATTTTGAAGTGTTCTGTGTGAAGCTCTTGAGCAGTCAGCATCTTACCTGCTGCAGGTAGCTGTGTGTGTTTTTAGGGTTATCTGATGGTTGTTTTCTGTGTGTAGTGACCTTCTTGCAGTCTCTAATGGGCATGTGTACCATCAGGAACCACGGGCTCACAGATATTTCTGGTTCAGTTCTGAGATCAGATCCAGTCCTCCGGTCCTCTCCATCTGTTTTTTTTTATTTTTTTTTACTAACTTTTAGACATTTTAACACATTTGGAAATTAGTTTTATTTAAATGTGCTCAGTGTGTGATGTGTCCAGGTGTCAGAATGACCTCAGAACATCTGGACAGGTGGATATGAACACTGTTTAGACCAGTTCTCAAACTACTTTTTCATTCAAGCTTTATTTCTACAGGCGAGTCTCATTGAGCTCATTTACAACAGAAACCTGAATTTTTAACAGAGTGATGACAACAGTGGACAACAAAGACAACAATAGACAGTCATAAAGATGTGTACCAGCCTGAAGACCACCACCATCATCCCAGTCCCAAAAAGCTCTACAGTGACTGGTCTGAATGACTATCGGCCAGTGGCCCTCACCCCGATAGTCGCTAAATGCTTCGAAAAACTGGTCATGACTCACATCAAAACAACCATCAACATCAACGAGGACCCTCATCAGTACGCATACCATGAGAATCGATCAAGAGAAGATGCAATCTCCTCTGTGGTCCACACTGCACTCAACCACCTGGAGCAGAAGGACTCCTACGTCCGTATGCTCTTTGTGGACTTCACATCCGCCTTCAACACCATGATCCACCAAACCCTGATGGACAAACTATTCACACTAGGACTAAGCCCCTCCATCTGCAACTGGGTACTAGACTTTTTTAACAAACAGACCACAGTTAGTGAGGATCCACAACCTCTCCTCCTCCACCATAACCCTCAGCACTGGCTCTCCTCAGGGATGTGTGTTGAGCCCCCTTCTGTTTACTCTGCTCACATATGATTGTGCAGCTACCCATCCAGGCTGTCACATTGTAAAGTTTGCAGATGATACAGCGGTGGTGGGATGCATCACAAACAACGATGAGTCCAGCTACAGGCAAGAGGTGGAACACCTGGAGAGCTGGTGCAGAGAGAATAACCTTCACATCAATGTGAAGAAGACAAAGGAGATGATTGTGGACTTCAGAAGGAACAAAAACACCTACACCCCCCTGAACATAAGAGGATCTGCAGTGGAAGTGGTCTCCAGCTACAAGTACTTGGGTGTACACATGAATGACAACCTCAGCTGGAGCAACAACACCACCAGCCTGATGAAGAAAGATCATCAGAGACTCTACTTCCTCAGACGGCTGAGGCGAGCTGGTCTGGAAGCTCAGTCCTCACCTCCTTCTACAGGTGTGCAGTGGAGAGCATCCTGTGCTCCAGCATCAACGTGTGGCATGGAGGCTGCACAGCTGCAGAAAGAAAAGCTCTGCAGAGAGTGGTGAAGGCTGCACAGAAGATGTTGGAGTCAGCCTCCCCACCATCACAGACATCTACACCTCCAGATGCAGGAAGAGGGCCACCTGCATCATGAAGGACCACACTCACCCAGCACACACACTTTTTGCCCCACTCCCCTCAGGAAGGAGGTTGAGGAGCATTAAGTGTAGAACCACTAGACTGCGGAACAGCTTCTACCCTGAGGCTGTTAGACTCATGAACCTCTAACCAGGAGAATCACTGTGAAAAATCATATCATGTTGCTGCTGATCTGTTTCATGTTGCTGCTGATCTGTTTCATGTTGCTGCTGATCTGTTTCATGTTGCTGCTGATCTGTTTCATGTTGCTGCTGATCTGTTTCAATGTTGATGTGTTCATGCGTGCACATCTGCTCACAGACTCATGTTCATGTTTGTGCTGATGTTCAATGTTTTATGTTATGAGTGCTTAGTGTATATTTGGTTGATGTTTTTCTTAGTTCATATCTTAGATGTTATTACTGTTTTTCTTATACATTTTATTGTTGGATGTAACTGGGACCCTGTGTACATAATTTCGCTCCACCACATGTACCACATGAGGTGCGAATGACAATAAAGAAACTCTGACTCTGACTCTGAGAAATTGAGAAGAACAAATGAAAGAAAATGGTATTAAAAAAACAAAACACAAACAGCTAGATTATAAGGTGAATGTAGAAAACTAAAAACAGGAACATGTCAGCATTGGTCCCTGCCAGGAGTCCAACAGATTCTTAAAGACACTTAGAGAGGTCAAAGGTCGAGAGCTTCAGATGTTTTTACAAGATGTTCCAGGAAACAGGAGCGGAGTAGGAGAAGGTCCTTTTGTCTAGTTCAGTCCTCACTGAGGGAACACTGCCAAACTTAGGGGTGTGCCCCCCTGGGGGACCTGAGGCTGTGCTGGGGGGTGGGGGGAGTCAACGTTCTGCTGCCTTGTTTTGATCATCCAGTTTTTTGTTTAAATTTAAAAATCTTTTTAATTCAAAACTTGTTTTAAAGGATTCAGTGACGTTGAGCTGATTGTTCTGCTCCCAATGACTTCATGCTCGAGTTTTATGCATCGTGTCATCGCCTCGCCCTGTGTGTGTGTGTGTGTGTGTGTCTGTGTGTGTGTGTCTGTGTGTGTGGGTGTGTGTCTGTGTGTGTGTTTTCAGCTGATTTCTCCTCAACTCCACTGTTCAGGCAGATTCTGGGTCAGAATCTGCAGAAAGGTCCGTTTGGTTAAACCCGACATGGTTGTGGGTTTACTTGAGATATTCTGCAAAATATTTCCTGTCAAAATGTTACAGGAACCTAAATTAGCTGCTTTTATGTTGACGGACACTCCGGTAACCTGAGTAAAATAAAGTTCCGCTCCGTGATCACGTCTGAGGATCTAAAATAAAAACATGAACATCGCAGCTGGAGCACCAAGACAAACAGACAACACTGTTTTACTTCACTCACTCATCTTCACTCACAGCGTCTCACTTTATTCTAACATCTTTTTATTTTGAGGGGGGGTCAGGTTAACCTACGCACTGAGCCGCCCCCGCCCTGCTGCTGCAGCTTGCCCTGCTGCGAGTCTCCCTCGCTCTTCTTCTGTCTCCTGTTACTTTAATTAATTAACTTGATTAATTTTTATTAACTAACTTTATTTAATTGAACTACTGCATGTGCACCTCAGTCTAAGATCATGGGGACGGAGCGTGTGCGTTTGTTTTCATGTGGCTTGACTCAACATTAGCCGTTAGCTTGGAGAAACAGATGCTAATCTGGGCGTGATAATGGACCCTTCCCTGAAACTTAACAATCATGTAAACATGATTAAATCATGCTTCTTCCAACTGAGGCGGCTGTCTAAACTGAAGCCCATATTGTCCAAAAAGAACCTGGAGACAGTAATACATGCATTCATTACATCTAGGCTTGATTACTGCAATTCACTCCTGTTTGGTATCAGTCAGACCTCCATTGCACGACTACAACTGGTCCAGAATGCAGCAGCCCCATTTTTAACCAGTACAGGCAAAAGAGAGCACATTACACCAGTTCTGGCCTCACTGCACTGGTTACCAGTTCACCTTCGAATCCAGTTCAAAATACTCATGTATGTCTACAAATCACTGAACAGTGTCCCCCCCCCATCTCTCTGATCTGCTCCAACCGTATGTCCCACCACGCTCCCTGAGGTCAGCGGACCAGTTGCTCCTCAAAGTTCCAGGAACTCGTCTTAAGCGCAGAGGTGACAGGACCTTCTCTGTAGCAGGACCAAGACTTTGGAACGAGTTACCTCTGCTTGTCAGACAGGCCCCTCCCTCTCTGTTTTCAAGTCCCGTTTAAAAACTCACTACTATTCAGTAACTTTCAACACCAGATGATCTGTGTTTGATCCTGTATGCTCCACACTGGTTTGTCGTCATTATCTGCATCGTTTTTATGTCTATATTCTGATTTACCTCATTTTGTATTTTGCTCTGTGTGTTACCTGTTGTTCTGTCTGTACAGCACTTTGGTTGGCCTTGTAGCTGTTTTAAGTGCTCTATAAATAAAGTGGTGTGGTAATAGAATGAGAGCGTGTCCCCGCGAGGAGGAAACGGTTCGGATCCCTCAGGGCAGAGTCAGAGAGTGTTTCGTTCACTCGGTGATTCATGTGGTTCATTTGCAGTGAACGAATCACAAACCACATTCGCTCAGGCGTCAACAGCCCCTCCCTCCCTCCCTCCCCGCCCGCACGCCGCCGAGTCGTTCAGATTCACGTCACGAGTCACAGAACGAGGACGTTCCACTCCCGACCGGCGCGTTCACGCTGAGCTCAACGGAACTGAGGAAGGAATGAATCGGTGAATGAAGTGGTTCAGTTGGTTCACTCAAACGACTCGTTCATTTGAACGAGTCGTTTGTGAACACAGCACTGGTTCAGACCTGGCGTTAGAACCGCAACACGCTGCTGCGACAACCCCCAGCATCGCAGCTCTCCGCTACATGACCCCCACACCCCCGGCGAGCGCCCTGTCAAGGTAAGTAATCTAGGAGAATCATCACTGCTGTTCTTTATTAACTTTCACAGGAGGGACCTCTGGATCCTGGAGACGGGTTCTGGAAGGTTCTGGAGGGCGCTCAACGCAGACCGAGCTGAGCACTTGGTTCTGGAGGAGGAATGTTTCTGGTGACAAGGCGGAGTGAAAGGAGGTGTCGCTGTCATCAGACCCGGGTCGGTCCTGGTAGGTCGTGTCTGCTTCGCTGACAGAGTCCAGAGTGGGAAAACAGACATTTGAGACGTTTAATGGTTTCAGCAGAGCCGGTCCAAACCAGAACCTCAACATCAGAACCATCATGACGACAGGAGCCTCACCTGAGATCAGAATCAGAGAGAACGTTGAGGTGGACGCTGCTGTCACTCTCCCCCGCATCGACTCCATCAATTCTTCTGACTCCACCCTCGGACCAGTCCGTGGGTCTGACTCCACCCTCGGACTGGTCTAAGGGTCTTCTGCGTTTGGCTGTGCCGATCCTCCTCTTCATCAGCCTCCGGGAGCAGCAGTCCACGATGTGAGGAGACTCCAGAGCTTCGGACCAAAGGTTCAGCTGCTCGTCGTCGCTGGAGTCTCTGAGAGAAACATCAGAACCGACAACAAACAGGATTTTATGATGCCAGACTTCATACGAGGTCCTGGACAACATTTGTTGATCGTTTTTGTCTTTTTGGGAGTTTTCATGTTTGATCTTTTCGATCTTTTGGTGTGTTTGCGTTCTGTATTTGTTTGTGTGAAATAACTTCGTATTTGTCTCAGACGTCAGTGAATCCATCAGCAGACGATGGTTCTTTTGTAAGAACCTAAGTGTTTTTACAGATTCAGAACAGACTGAGGCATTGGTTAAAATCTGCTCTCAGCTCTGAGGAGCTTTAACAACTGGACTCCTCGTGGCTGAAACTCACAGCTCCTCCTCGCTGTCTTCCTGGAAGGTCAAAGGTCGCATGCAGACGACACACGTGTTCCCCAAACTGCGGAAACACGTCCGACAATACACGCCTGCAAAAACACAACAGAACCTCTTTTAGTCAAACCGTCTGATTCTTTCTAACAAAGTCAAGTCAGGTCCTCTGGATGAGTTTAAAAAAAAACAGAAAACTGTAGAAACGTTTCGTCTTTCATCCAAAGGACTTCTTCAGTCTGAGGAGCTGTGTTCAGCTCAGTCTTATAAACAGCACCTTCTCATAGTGGATCAACCAGTTGTTGACATTCAAACGTCACTTTTTACAAAGTGTTTGTTAGAATCTCACCTGAACTCCTGAGTGAGCTCACCTTTAATGTCAGAAGACCCCCCCCCCCCCACACACACACACACCATTGGACCGGTCAGGATGAAGGACCATAAAGGTCCTTGGCAGCAGGATCAGCATCAGCACATGTCTCTGCACCTGAAGCCTCTGATTCATTAGAGCAGGGGTCTGTAAAACTTTACGATCCATTTTTATGACTTCATTCACAAATCAAGGGTGGGGGGGGGTAGTTTAAAAAAATAACTATGCAGACCTATGTGATTATTTTAATTGTGGAAAAATTAATTTAGTGGAGAAAAAAAGCCTAAAGTTAAAGTGAGTATGTTTGACTCCTTGTACTCGCTCCAGAATTCACATATTTGCAGAGGAAATGACAAGAAAACAACTAAAACTAGTCTTTTGTTGTTGTTTGTACAAAAAGCAATGGAATTCAGTTTGATGTGAGTTTTGATGACAGAGCCGCTGCAGAGGGACCACAGAGCCACGTGTGGCTCCAGACCCTTGCATTCGAGGTTCCAGCTGCAGGTCCTCCTGTATCCTGAGAGCAGCTGGCTCTGGATGTCAACAACAAACTGGTTGATCCACACGACAAGGTGCTGCTTATAAGACTGAGCTGAACGCAGCTCCTCAGGCTGAAGAAGTCTTTCGGATGAGACGAAACGCGTCTAATTTTTTTGTTTTTTGGATGTCCAGAGGACCAGACTTAACTTTTGTAGATTTTTCTACCTGGATTCTTGAGCAGCTCCAGGATATGTCTGATCCTTTATGACATAAACAGAATATAAAGTTCTGTCTTAGCTTGTCTTCTGTGGTTCTAACAGAAACTACTAGAACTGAACGTCTTTCTTTGTCTTCTGAGTATTTTCTGTATATTTGATCACTTTTTATTCAAGGAAACCATCAGTGAAGAACAATAGGAACACTTTAGAAACCTTGGCGTAAACATTTAGTACTAATTATCTAAAAAAAGTGTAATAATTTGAGTTCGGATGAGATTCTAACAAATTCTTTATCTGTAAAAAGTCCAAAAACATGAATAGATTTATTAAAACACATTAAGTGTTTGTTTTTTTTAGTAAAACAAAAATGTTTGAAAGTTGTTTTTATCAGGAATACAAACATGTTGAGGACAGTGTCGATCTCCAGGTGACCTTGTTCCTACAGTTGGAGTTCGGCTGAATCAACAACGCTGCAGGACACTCCCTCAGTAAACACACACACACACACACACACACGAACACACAACACACACACACACACACACACATACACACAACACACACACACACAGCCAGGGTTGAACTCAGAGGTGAACCATCCATCCATCCATTTTCTTTACCCGCTTATTCCATTTTGGGTCACGGGGGTCGCTGGTGCCCATGTCCAGCAATCACTGTGCGAGGGGCGGGGGACACCTGGACAGGTCTCCAGTCCATCACAGGGACACATAGAGACAAACGAGACAAACAAACATTCACTCTCTCACTCACACCTAGGGACAATTCAGAGTTACCAATCAGCCTAACATGCATGTTTTTGGACTGTGGGAGGAAACTGGAGTACCTGGAGAAAACCCACACATGCACGGAGAGAACATGCAAACTCCACCCAGAAAGGCCCCTGGACCGGGATTTGAACCAGGGACCTGCTCGCTGAGAGGCAGCAGCTCTACCAGTTGCACCACCGTGCTGCCCGAGGTGAAACATTAAAGAGTGAAATCCATCCATCCATCCAACCATCCATTCAACCAACCATCCATCCATCCATCCAACCATCCAACCAACCATCCAACCATCCATCCATCCATCCATCCAACCATCCATCCATCCATCCAACCAACCATCCAACCATCCATCCATCCATCCATCCAACCATCCATCCATCATCTTTACCCACTTCTTCCATTTTGGGTCACGGGGGTCACTGGTGCTCATGTCCAGCAATCACTGTGCGAGAGGTGGGGGACACCTGGACAGGTCTCCAGTCCATCACAGGGACACACACACACACACACACACACACACACACACACACACACACACACCTAGGGACAGTTCAGAGTTACCATCAGCCTAACATGCATGTTTTTAATCTGTGGGAGGAAACTGGAGCACCTGGAGAAAACCCACTCAACACGGAGAGAACATGCAAACTCCACCCAGAAAGGTCCCCGGCCGGGATTTGAACCGACACCCTTCTCACTGAGGGTGGCAGCTCTACCAGTTTAAAGAGTGAAACCTTTCAGTCATAACATTATGACCAGGTCTGATCGGGCTCCGACCCGTTTCCTCATGGACTCTGTGGGCTCAGAGGGTCACAGTCTGATCGTAAACCTGGTACTGGTTTCCTACCTGAACACCTTGGGACGTCACAGGTGACCGTGTTCTCATCTTTGGGCCTCACCATCTCACCGCAGGCCAGGCAGGTGAGACGAGACAACGGGCTTGACAGGTAAAGCAGAACTCTTCTCGGTAACCTGAAGATGAAAACGTTCAGATTTAATCCAGATTCTGACTCCGTGGACACCTACCATCAGCATCTGTTTCTGCCACTGGAGTTTATTTTGAAAGGATTATCAAGTGGAAACTATGGTCCTGAGTGAGCTCATGTTTAATGTCAGAAGAACAGCCCCCCACACACACACACACACACTCACACACACACACACTCACACACACCATTGGTCCGGTCAGAATGAAGGACCATAAAGGTCCTTGGCAGCAGGATTAGCAGCAGCACAAGTCTCTGCACCTGAAGCCTCTGATTCATTCGAGGTTTCAGCTGCAGGACTCGGGGCGAGAAGCTTTGATTCACCAGCGGGCCTGAAGCATGAAGCAGCAGCTGACCGCTGCTGAAACTTGTGTTTGCAGAGTGGACTGCTGGGCTGGGGGTCTACATGGAAATATTTCAACCAAACTTTTCCCCGACTCGTTCGAGGAGAGTTTTTACTGAAACCAGACCAGAAGTTACCACATGAGCAGAGCGTGGAGGAACGCTCCTCCTCCTCCTTCCTGCCGGTCAGCCTGGTTTCTGACTGCAGACCTCCTCAGGGCCCGGCCCACCGCCCTGCGCTGATCCAGGATCTGCTGGCGCAGGAAGCAGATCCTCTCCTGCAGAACACAATGCAGAGGTTTTGGTTTCTTCCTCACAACACATCCAGGGTTTCGTCTTCTCGTCTTTCAGGCAGCAGTATCGTCCAGAAGCACCTCGGAGAGACAAAACGAAAACACCACGCCCGTTTCCACGGAGATCCGGTGAGAGAAGCAGAGATAAAGGGACAAGATGTAAAGACAGGAACCCACGAAGAACCTCCTTCAACCAGGAGCTGCTCGTTCAGATGCATTTAAAAAAGGATCAGGTTGAAACAAAGTGAAATAAACTGGTTCAAGAGCAGAAAAATGCAAATAAACACGTTCACAATTTAAACTACAATAAGTCTGGATGTATTCTCCAAAAAAACTCTTTAAAGATGCAGCTTTTAATAAATATTGCTTCAATAGATCTGACTGTATAAACGCTGAGTCGGCATATTGTCTTCCTGTTTACAGTTTCTTGTTTTGACTCAAAATATTTTCACATAAACTGTTAAAAAAACACCTTCATTTGCCATTTTTAGCTACAAATTCTCACCTTTTTGCTACAATTCTGCAACTTTTAGAAAACAAATGACTGATTTTAGCTACTGTTCTGTTGTTTTTACCTTCTGTTCATCTGATTTTAGCTACTGTTCTATTGTTTTTACCTTCTGTTCATCTGATTTTAGCTACTGTTCTGTTGTTTTTACCTTCAGTTCATCTGATTTTAGCTACTGTTCTGTTGTTTTTACCTTCAGTTCATCTGATTTTAGCTACTGTTCTGTTGTTTTTACCTTCTGTTCA